TAGTTTTAAAGATCTAAGCATAGGTACATAGTGACAGACAGACAGCGGGAAGCGACTTTTATACTATGTAGTAATATAATCTTTATACATATATAAAGTTACGGTATGCGTATGTTATCAATGTTTTTTTAACGGCTTGACCGACTTTGATGTTTTATTTGTGTACTTGTGACTATACTTCGTGGTTCGCTTTAATGGTTTTTAGCCATAGCCAAAACCCGTAGGAGTCGCTATTACTAGAAGCCAGAATCTTTTTAATTTTCCAAGCCGATTTTCCCAAACTCCTTTTTTGCATATCCAAATCTTTATATATATAATTCTTCTGTGAGTGTGTATGTCACTGAACTTCTCTCAAACGACTGGACCGATTTTGATGAAATTTTTTGTGTGTGTTCAAGGGGATCTGGGAATGGTTTAGATTCACAATTTGAATAATAATTTTCATCAAAAAAATTATTAAAAAAAGTTTGAAATTTTCAAATTAAAGACGTGTAGACAGGACAACGTCTGTCGGGTCCGCTAGTAAAAATATATAATACCAAATTTCGATCTATCTTTTTTGTATAAAATAATCAGGTTAATAAAACAAGGAGTTTCCCTTTCAATTTTATTTGATCATTTGAAAAAACAAACGAAAAGCAAACCATTAGCATCGGTAAATAAACTCGGAACGATGTTTAAACAACGGCTAAAAGTTACTGAAAGGCATTGATTTTTTTGCAAATATCATCTTTTGACTACATTATAGACTTTTATTTAATTTTTTAATTCACTTTTTAAGTGATTCAGGTTTGGTTGGATTTTAGATTGAAGACTGAACTTTTCGTGATTGTTTTCTGTATTATTTTTATATTTTACGATTATATGTATATTATTTTCAAGATACCTACTAGGTGTATGTGATTGTACCTTTTTTAGAGATTTGTAGCCATATAGCTAAAAAGGAATCCTGACAATTTCGCCATGTCTATTTGTCCGTCTGACCGCATGTCACAGCTATTTACTTAGAGACTATTGGCTACATTGCTGAAATTTAGTAAGTAGGTTAGCTAGGTGTCTGACGTAAGCCACTAGAAAATACTATAATAAAAACAAAAAATAAAAAGTGGTGACACTTCATATGTGTAACTGAGGGTTATTTTTGTAAATACTACATAAACGTGTAGAGTATTTCTGGGTATGGGGGAAAACGTTTTGGTACATAAAATACGCCAGGCTGGGTCGACAAGTGCGTGGAGACGGCAGCCACATACATTTCGAACACTAACTCTGGCAGCACGCAGTAAATGAACTGCCTCCTAGTTTGAGGGTTCCGATACGCTGTCATATATTGGAGTAGCTGCCTGACTGCCGCAGCTAGAGTGTCTAGTGAGTGGGGGCTCTAACGGCCCTATAACAAAAATAATAATATGTACGAATTGCGAGTTGATCTAATGAGGCCAGCATATCAAGCGGTTATTGGTGAGCTTATGAATTTGATTGTTTTGATGAGTCTAATACATTAGAATTGGTAACGGGGTTTTGACGGTGATCGAATGTTGCATAAGTGTAACTATAATAGATATTTATAAATCTCTCAAACTTGTGTTTACCATTTTTATTAATATTCGTATAACGCTTTCCGTAAAATCGAACTACTATTACAAACTTGAAAATTTGTATGTATGTTTGTTTGTTACTTAGTTGTAATACGGCTGGTCGGATTTAGATGAAATTTAGTACATGTCTTTAATACGTGGCTTATGACCTACAGTAATACGTAGGCTACTGTAATGTACCCGTCTAAAATGAGGCTGAGCACCATATCCTTCCAGACTTCTTTTTATACCATTGTATGAATTTTTTTATCATTATTATTAATTAATTATCCAATATAAAAAAACGTATGCATGTACTTTATGTACACACGTAAGAAGTTGTACTTCTTTGGCGTAACAGAACAAAAATAGCTAAAGCTTTCATCCCGTATGTCACAACTCTCTGTTTGTAAAAGGAATGCAGCTAACTTCATCATGTCGCTTTTTGGCTGTCGATGTGCACGCGCATCGTAAAAATTTTATTCTCATATTTTTTCCGAACGTGCCAAAAGAAGTATGACTTCAAAAACGTTAAATTATTTCTTATCCATTATACGAGTACTTGTTAGTTATGCTGTAAATTGCTAACGCTATCGTTATAAACCTCTGAATAGAGACAGGATATTACGTGGGCTAAAGGAAAATCTAGTTTGAGCTAAATGGCAAACACTACACACACAGGACTTGCTCTTTACACTATGTAGGTAAATATTATTTACATAATATTTACATTTACAAAGAAAAAATAACATATAAGGATTTTGAACATTGGTGTATTGAGAAGTGTTGTGATAACAAGAATAGGCCAAGAAGATATTGGTTTCTCATCAGAATTATTAAGTCAAAATTATTGTTGACTAAGAGTGATGGACATGCTTTTACCCCTTTAGAGATGCACATACCCATGTGCATACACACATTTTTATATTAACCACCCACGACCCTTCCATTTTCATAAAAAATCTATATAAAAAATATAAACATTCACAATTAAAATTCGATAAAAATAAGTTGAACCTAATATTTTGGAACGCACGCGCACACCGCACGCACAAACACACACACACACACACACACACACACACACCATACACGCACGCACGCAGGCACACACGCAGGCACACAAAAACACAGTTACACACACAGACGCACACACACACACACAAACACGTACACACACGTATAATAAAATTAATGTTATTACGAACGATAGAATTTAACACTGTAATTAGTAGCCACAGTAAGGAAACATATTGAACGAAACTATATTGTTACGTTTATGAACAAATTTTATTATTATTATAGATGTCGCCAGTGTCAACATAATCTTTTTACAGTTGCCAATATTGAACCCACGAACAACGTCTACCGTCACGAAGAAATATCGTTTACTAACTAAATCCTTAATTAAGCTTAAATATAACTCGTCGTTAGTTTCTACAAACAATATTTATTACATTTTCTCATTGCGGTAAGTAATTAATGGCTATGGGTATTAACACCAATAAATCAAACGTTGCGGAAACTAGGGAAATATCTGCACAGTTTTAGTTTATCGATAGTAAAATTTTGTAGGTATGTTTTCGAAGGAGCTATTTTATATTTTAATAAATAAATAATAAATAGTGTTGTGTTTCATTACGTTTTTATAAAGAAACTAGTATTGCCTGCGACTCCGCCCGCGTTCAGATGACCAAAAACCAAATTCTTAGGTTTTACACATTAGTATACTCTTACATTGCAGTTTTTGTATATTTTCTCAAAAATTAGATATTTTCCCGCGGTAAAAGTACCCTATATGTTGACCCGGATAACCAGCTATCACCATACTACTTTTCATCAAAATCCCTCCAGTGGTTTTTCTGTGATGTGGTAACAGATAGACAGACAGACTTCTAAAAACTATAGATTCGGCCTCTGTATCGATAATAATGTCTATTTCAATAAGATTTTCCAAAAAATATTTAATGTACAGATTCGGCTTAGTTACAATTTTATTATATGTATAGATAGAGTAATCTATACTAATAATATAAATGTGAAAGTAGCTGAACAGATTTCGATAAAATTTGGTCAGGACATAGATTGTATCCTGGGATCAGACATACGTTATCCTTGAACCACGCCCCCGCGTATCACGCTAGCGAAGCTGTGGGCAAAAACTAGTTGTACGTAAATAGAGTACGCGTAGAGAGCATCAGGAAAAAGCGACATAGATATAGCATTCTACAATAATATATTATTAATTAGAATTGGACTTCTATAAATTCTAATAGAAGCGAATATAATGAAAGTTTTTGAATGTGGTTTCTGTTATTTGGAAAAATTTAATATTTGTTTTTATTAGGAAATTTAAATAATAAGGCTTTTAAACTTATGATTTTAACTAATCTCATAAGTTCTTTTCACATCACGCACTAGAATATATCTTTAAAATCTCATTAAATCCATTTAATATAATTATTTTGTGATTATTACGATAAATCTACGATAGAAGAATTAGTAAGACTATTTGGAAAAAAAATGAGAATGCATCCCTAATACTTTGTAAATCTGAGAACGCTGTAATTTGTTGTCGCCATTTTGCGTTAGTGTCGGTTCAATACAAAAAGGTGCTTATTGGTATATCTCAAATAGCCTATTATCTCAATTAGCAGCTATTACCAAATAGCCCTGCAGAAATTTGTTTCCAAATTCTTGAAGCTTTAAATTTTATAATAAGAGTTTAATTTATTATAGATAATAAGAAGATATTATGTCCAAGTGTTATTATTATGATCTTGTTAATATGGTATTTTTACATTTTCTTGCTTTACTAACTATCACTAATGATTATTTAAATGATAAATTCAGTACAGTTTACCTTTTCCCAAACATCAATATCTTTGATTTTAATAAAAATAGTTTATGAAAAAATAACTTCATCGGTTCTTTACCTAAAATTATATTATATCAATGCCATACCTATATAAAACAGATATTTATACTGTATCATATACTATATTTTTTAATTACTGCAAATAATAATAATTCTTTATAACAATTAGCCCCGTTGTACGTACTTCTTTGATTGATCACTATTTTTACTACTGATTTTTAGCTTTTTAATTAAATTTCATGAAAGATGCAGAAAAGCTAAAGTTGCTCAAACACGCGCGAGAGGTAAATAGCAAGTGCTTGTTAGAGTCTAAGCTTTAACACCTAGAAACTTCTAATTTATTTTATTTTGTAAATACCCTTCAGTTAAACACAAATTAATTACCATTTATATAGCATCTAGTACTTTGTTGTTGCTTATATTATTTTTATGTGAATTAATATCTTAAATTTCAAGAAGAAGCTTGTATGAAATACTAAATAGTCTAAGATAAGTCAAATCATTAGACAATTAGACGAACAGTAAAATATAAGCAATAAACTCACCAGATATCCACGTTCCATTCCATCTAACAGGCACCAGTTCATCCGTTAGCAGATCCTGTATCTTCAACCTTCTACCCTTAACCCTGGGCCCTTCATCAGGGGGTGTTAATAGAACCACAGATGTTACAATGAGCGCTAGAACAGCTACGATCACGAGTAGGGCTATAAGTATCCCTCTCCAATTTCTTTGATTCGGACTACCAACTACCAGCTTCTGGAACAAAGAAAATGGTTAGATCTTCAAGGGCGATGAGTTTAATTTATATATTTACTAGCGGAACCCGCGGCTTCGCTCGCACTAAAACTACAAAAAAATCTCTAAAAAGGTAGTTTCATATAAACTTTCATACCCTATTTTACCCCCTTATAGGATAAATTTCGAAAAATTCTAAAACACGTATTTATTTAATTTTATTGAAGAGCATTAATACCAAGTTTCAAGTAATTCTGATCATAAATAATTTTTGGGTTGTATTATAATTGTTTTCCCGTGGGTATGAGAAAATAAAAAGTACACGCCAATCCGTCAGTCCGTTTCGACGTGAAAGTAGGACAAGCAAACAAACACACTTTCACATTTATAATATTAGTATGGACTGTGTAGATATGTATAATTAATATATTTACAACCTACTCCTAGATAACTTTATGCACATGCCTAGGGCAGATTATACCATATCGGGTGCCCCTAGGCAATGCAATTGTCGGGGCCCTGTCACCCTCTTTTAACTTATAGAAATACATTTTTACTACCACAATGCAATAGTTATATACGTAATTATGCTATTAGATAGATTTCATGAAAATCTAACAGTTATATTTGTCGTTGTGGTTGAACTTTCACCTATTTTTTTTAATTCTTCAAATTAACATTTTTACTCGATTAAACATTTTAATTTTTTTTCTCGATGCGAAAGGCTGCTAGATGATGCAGGACCCCTAGGCAGTTGCCTACACTGCCTTATGGATAATTTCTGCACATGCCACGATTGTTTTTAATTAATATCTCCTAAACTATATCACCAAACTCCAAGTAACAGTTTGTCTGTATCTAGCTTCCATCCAATTTTATTTATTTAAGGTCTACCAGCAGTTTTACAATAATTTAAAACTAACACTATAATTAATATCATAGATAACATTGGTAAATTTTAAATCTATACTAAGGTAAACACAACATGCTATTCGTACCGTATTATATTTTTTATAAGTATTTTTTTCTAGTATTTCAAAGTTAGAAGTTTTATAATATAAAAAATATATGTATTGAGTTGTGACAAAAAGCTAAAACATTTTATCGACATTAACGGTCAACCCTGCTAATGTTGTCGAGATGAAGATTGTATCACCTTATCAGTGTACTTAAGGATAAAAACCAGCCATCTTTTTGTTTCAGTTTTTCCATTACTCTCATTTAGGCATTTTCTTCGTTCTTTGCAAAAGTTTGTAATGAATATTTCTTTTGTGATTTTTGATGACTTAATGAAAATCGACGTCTATTTGAAAAAAATACTGAAGATTAATATTGTATACTTTAAGCGAATGAACAAAAGAATTTCGAATGGAAGCACAATTCATTAATTAACATCTTCTGAGGCTGTGATTCGGAAAATACTGATTGAAACTCAGTCGTTTTATCTTGGATTGTTGTAGCATTATTAATTTGATTTCTATATACCTAGTATACATAATAAGGATTTTAAAATGCATTATTTTACCTTTTCATTTTTCATTCTTAAGTTTCACAAATATAAAAACATAGACGGCATCAGTTAGGTTATATATAAAACTTTTATTATATTATTTACACATAAATTAACAAATTCAACTGTAGATGTGAGAGATAGTGCTTTATATATTTGCTATTTTATTTTTCTATACCACAAGAGCTTATTTTATTTTATGGAATAAATGTTTAGTAAAATGTGCGTACAAATGCCTCAATACAAAGAGGAATGAAAGAAAGTGCCTTGTAAGTTGTAGGTAAGTAGAGTTAGATCACGCAAAGCTTTATAAAGCCAAGTTATATCCGACACTATTTAGCATGTTCATAGCATTTCCGGTATACTACTCGGTTACAATTGTCATGAATACATTTTTGGGATTTTTTGTATGAAAAAGTAAATTGTGATATAAGCATAACTCAAGAACTGCTGGACCAATTCGGTAAAAAAATTTTTTTACATGTTCCTTAAGGTCTACGGAGAGTTTAATAAAGAGAAAAATGGAAAAAGTAACGAAAAAAAATAATAATGTGGCTAACGCTGGCTAATAACTATTTACATATATCTATTCAAAATGTACCTAGCGTCGAACCCGAGCGAAGCGAGGGTGAGCCGCTAGTTGATATATAAAAACATAGATACACATTTCCTAACAAATATCTCTTCAAAAAATGTCGTCGACATGTGATGTTAGGTCAAACCAAATCAATAAAATTGAAAAATGAAAGTTCTAATCCTCTAAATACAAATTCGAACTTACACATACCATATAATATTTTAAACGAAACAACGTGCGTTTTAATTTTGTCATCCGAAAAGCAATGAACAAAAGAGATTTGGAAAAAGCGCACAATTTCGAATTGTGCGCTTTGTATACAAATTGTAAATTGTAAACAAAAGGAGGGTTCAGCAGTGGGACGTTAAAAAATGGCTGAATACAAGCGGAGCCGCGAGCAAGTCCTGCTACATTTGTAAAAACATTAATAAATATTGGTAACTCAAAAATCAAATCACATAAAAAATGGACTTTATTGCAAACTAAAAAGATTAATGTTGAAATAGAAATATATACGTTTTCATAATAACTAAATTCGATGAACAGGTCGAGTATTAAAAAATCATACTAAAGTGCCATAAATTTAAACCTACCGAGTTGATAACGGACGGACAGGAAACAGTCGATTTATCATGACTCAACAATACTAGGCTGTATGTTATATGGCTGTATAGATCCATTACGTTAAGGGGCGGTAAGATAAATAGCCTTTTTAGTCCCCTTTAGGATGATAGACTAAAAATGGCGAGAGAATGGACTAAAAATAGCTAATACTATGTCGTATTTGTCGCTGGTAATGGTTACAGCTTCGAAATTCATAGATAAATGAGAGAACAAACAAAGATTATGAGCCTACCTGCCAAACGGTAGTACTGTCAGCTGATACATACAAATTATGATCATATTGGTACATATAATTGTGATCCAGACTAAGCTATTAGTAGTCCACACCCCATAAACATTTTCTAAATTACCTTTGCACTAACTAAAAATATGAATTTAATATATGATGACCTTGTAAATATAAAAAAGAGTTTCATTTCTAACATGGGAAAATGGAGAAAATATGTACTTTACATAGCTAAAAACACATCGTTCGTCTGAAAACGATCTTTCATTTTACAATGTGCAAAGTACAGCTTTAAACTCAAAGTGATTTCGAACACCTATACACCTAAAAAGGTCATACACTTAAGAAGAATTGTATCTCAAAGTACAAGGTTATATCGTCATCGCACCCTATATAGGCCATTCTGCCCGCACTTGGCCATTACAATAAAGCTGTTCCGTGATAACGACACGCGCTCAATTGAAACCGAGTACACTTCTGTAGTACATAAACTCAATTTAAATTACTACAAAAGTATAGATTTTTTATTAACTTATGTATAATGATTATTTAATTTCTTTTAAGATTACAAAGTGTCTTATGAGGAATATAAAAAAATATTAACTTACTACATAGAGTATATACTAATAGTTCAGACTCTAGAGTAAATATTTAGATGAATTTGGTGCTATTTACTAAGATAAGTAACTATTAAATAAATAACCCATTATGAAGTTACTGAGCATATTTGGCTGTATATATCTATACTAATATTATAAAGGGGAAAGATTTTTTTTACTAAGCCGATTTAGATGAAATTTGCTAAAAAGATAATTTCTGATCCTAGGAAGGACATAGGATAGTTTTTATCCAGGAAATCACCATTTAAATTGGTGAAAATGAGGATAAAAGTTTGTATGGGAAAGCAACCTAGAGACGAACCCGATCGAAGCGAGGGTGAGTCGCTAGTTATTAATAAGTATATTTTTTTTACTTTCTAAAATAAGATTCAAGATATACATATAGATATATATGTATATAAATTGTTTGACTACTTCACTCACTTTTTAATTCACTATGTTGCGTTAATAAAAATATTTAAATTAATACAACATAAAAAAAATATACACAGTTTTTAATGAATTGATTATATAGACCTTATAGAGGATATTTTTTAGACATACTTTTCTTCTAATAATAAGGAATAATTGCTATTAACGTGATTTTGAAAATTTTACTTGATAGCCATATATATCCTTTCTATTACAAATGTCTTGAATTAATTTAAATTTCGTTAGAAATTGATATTCCTTTCGTAAAAACAGAAATGAGAGGGTAAAATGAAATATATTTCTTTATGTCTAGAGTGAGCATCAAAATTCAGGCCTCTAGTATAATATCCACTTACATATGAAAAACAAAGACTTTATACGAATTGTAATAGATCTTATCGCGTTCACAAGTTTTACAAGCTATTATATTTTTACACGAGTCTTATTTAGATACATGGATCGAAGACGCCATTTTGTAGCCTCTCATATTTAAATGGTGCAATTACTTGTACCGAATATGCTCGTAAATACTCTGCCGACAGAATTTAGGATAAGGCGTTAAGGAGGTCAAGTAGGAAGAAAAAATATTTTATTATAGGTAACTAGGTACATTTTTTTTATTTTATTTAAGTAGGTACTATTACACTGACTTATATGACGGGTCGTGTTTATTTATATTAGAACAGCTTATCACATCAACTACAATTAAATAAAAGGCTTTTAAAAATTGCCATATTAGGCCATAAATTGGCTAGTTGACGAAATTATCATAAACATTTCTATTGTGATCTTGCATTAGGTTAGAATGCGTAAGCGATCTTGCGACGCCCCATTGAGGCGGGGAAGGTATCGTTGGGTTTTAGGCGGCTTCTAGCTGGTGACACATAACCACTTATTTGTATGAAAGTGTGCGTAAATGTTTTTAAAATTTTTATTTTTTTTATTTTTTAAAATTTAATTTAAAATTTCGTAAAATTTCCCGACATAAAAAAATGTCCTATGTGTAACATTTATACAGCCAGACTAAGAACTGTTAATTTATATTTACTTCTACAATACAAACAAATTTTCAAAAAGTCGATTTTTACTGTTATTATTACTTATTAAACCACTTCAAAATGGATGAAATACTCAATTCATCTGTATTTTTGTGGGTATTTTATTCGATGTCTTAACCAATTATAAATAGATTTCATAATCAACTAGTAACTTATTCGTTCCTACTGGAAAACGATGAATGTCCCGACGTATTTATTTATTCCAGACTATAATCTATCTCTGTGCCAAATTTCATCCAGATCCGTTCAGCCGTTCTGACATAATTGAGTAACAAACATCCATCCAAACTTTCGCATTTATAATATTAATAGGACTACAAATAGACAAAGACAAAACAGTTCAGTGCCTTATTCGCATCTGTCAACTGAATTTCTATATTTTTTTTGTTTAGTAGCTATTAACAAGCTTTATTTTTATCAATAAAAAAATAATGATCGAATTTTGTCCACTGCGCGAATTCTAGTTATTAATTGGTATATTCATTTGAAAACAAATTCTACCCCTAAAGGTAGAATAATCATTTTGTAAGTGATTTTAAAGTCGGTGTTCGTTATTTAATTAACAAAGTACACTGATATCAAACACAGTTTAAAAGTCATTTATTCAGCCCTTAGCTTTCTCTCGTTTTTTTTTTCTTCAAAGATTGAATTAAATAGTCATCCTTACAATATAATATGAGTTATTTATTCAAAAAAGAATCATAAAAACTGACTCTCAGTTAGTAAAGATATTTCATAACATTAGAACAAAAAATACTGATATTAGGTGTGTATGATTATATATTAACGGTCAGTATGGAATAGATAGAGTATATTTTAAGATGTATAACCTATGGCCTTTCTCAATAAAAGGGGCTATCTAATGTAGAAATAATTTTTCAAATGGGATTAGTAGTTCCTAATATTAGCGTGTTCAAACAAACAAACAAACAAACAAACAAACAAACAAACAAACAAACAAACAAACAAACAAACAAACAAACAAACTCTGACTATAATATTAGTATAGACAAGGGTAAATATTTCTTTCACTCTCAAATATCTAGAAGACAATTCTACACGACTGATGAGAGATTAGGTGGAGGATCCGATGCTACTTTGAAATGATGCTGTTTGGACACGGTAGAATTCTGTCGCCGATTTTCTAACTTCGAGCCGTTTTTGACATATAAATGCTATAATTGTACTTGGCATGAAGCGAACCCAGTATCTACACTCTGAAGTCATAGATATCTCGATTATGTGAATAATATAGAGAAATTACATTAAACACAAAATTGTAATTTAGTTTACTATAACATATATTTACGTATATAAACATTGATATATTGTTGCAAAGATTACAAATCGAGGGCATTAAGGGTCTAAGAAATCGAAATATAATGTACGGATAATATCGCAGTGTCACGTTCATGTAATAATCGGTTTTGTGCGTATGATCTATTGCTTCAGGGGGACGTTGGGTATGAAGCTTTTCGTAGTTTATGTATAGATTCTATACTATATAAATATAT